TCGGCTCACTACAATCTCTGCCTCCCGGGTTCAAGTGATTCTCCTGCCTCAGCCTCCTGAGTAGCTGGGACTACAGGTGCATACCACCATCCCCAGCTAATTTTTGTGTGTTTAGTAGAGACAGGGTTTCGCCATGTTGGCCAGGCTGGCCTCGAACTCCTGGCTCAGGTGATCCACCCGCCTCAGCCTCTAAAAGTACTGGGATTACAAGCGTGAGCCACTGCTCCCAGCCTAAATTGGATCATTAAGGCTGAAATGCTAGCCTTGATGCCTGGGCTTTGCCGGCCCACTGCCTTCCCAGGGACTCACTGACTATTGCTTAAACCAACCTAGAGGTGAAGCCTCGGAGCACGAAGCTGCCAAGTTACCTTTTCCCATCCCCTCTGAAGCTTTGAGGTCAGAAGGGACCCCTCATACCTCCAGCTGGGCAATTACTGCTTGGGATCAACCCTCTCCGGCACCCTGTCTGTATCCAGACCTCCTGCAAAGGTCCAAAAACATCTTGTCCTTCTTCTCTTCAAAGAATAAGTCACTTATTCAATCTGGAGGATTCCAGATGGCTCCGGGCTGGCTTGGGTGTAAGGAGCAGGATTAAGATGAAGAGTTCTTTTTCCTAAAACCACTGAAAGTAACTAAAAGAAAAGGAGAACAGAGCGCTCCAGAACAAACTTACTAGGGAGGCAACCTGGCTTGAAACAGGCCTTCCTGTCTGGCTGTGGGTTCCTGTCCTCACTGAAAGGCCTGAGAATGGAGCAGAAAGAAAACACAGGATTTCTCCAGCTTCAGGAATCTATGACCTTCTTTTAAGGGAAATATCTTCAAGGACCTTTGGTGTTGAAAATCACTTTTATTCTAATCTTACTTATTATATGCATACAAAAAATTCACTCACACCTTTTTTTACCCTTAGGATTCCCATAAAACAAATGAGTCTGAGCAACTTTCTGCACTAATTCCAACATAACTGCAAAATCCAAACATTCAGATGACAACATTAATCTGGTGTGATGACTGATGGCGTTTTCTAGAAGCAAAATTCCTGTTACCGGTGATAAAATAGTAGAATGTACTTTCACTTTATGCTTTGCTTGTTATGAACTTAATTTCCTTGAGTTTTAGCATAATAGGGGGCCCTTTTAGCTATCGTTATTACCTTTACTGTTTATTTTTATTTATTTACTTTTTATCATTTAATTTGTTTTGGCTACTAACAGGCCAAAGGATTTAATGGTGCACCCCCAAAATGTAATATGAGGAGAAAAATCTTTTTTTTTTTTTTTGAGACAGTGTCTCACATTGTTGCCTACACTGAGTGCAGTGGAGTGATCATGGCTCACTGCAGCCTCAACCTCCTGGGCTCAAGTGATCCTCCCACCTCAGCCTCCCAAGTAGCTGAGACTACAGGTGTGCACCACCATGCCTGACTAACTCAAAAAATGTTTTTTGTAGAGGAAGGCTCTGACTATTTTGCCCAGGTTGGTCTGGAACTCCTGAACTCAAGCAACCCTCCTGCCTCAGCCTCCCCAAGTGCTGAGATTATAAGTGTGAGCCACTGCACCTGGCCTGGGAAGAAAATCTTTTAAAGGAAAGTTCTTCACTGCCTATTTATATCTACACTGACCACGAATGAACTGTTGCTTATCAATTTCCCAAAGACTTGAGCATGCTGCCAAAGGCCAGGAGGCGGGGTCTTTCTAGTTCAGAGCCCCGTTACTCCTGTCTTCCCACGTGATGGCTCACCTCTCCACCACTGGTTTACTTCTGAACAACTGGAAAACCTTGGCTATATAGGGATTCATGCATTCCCATCACCCCACTTGGCAGTCATTCAATCATCAATATGGACACACGTGTAGCTACGAAAAGACACAGCAGTATTCCTTACATGGTACCTGTCTAGGTGCTCCACAATGGGTTTACATTGCCATTTGTAGAAGATAATCATGAACATGAAAACCTAAGATTTTTAAATTCTTTGATAACTGTGGGGCACTTGAAAAATGCCTCACTTGAGACTCATTGCCCAAAGTTGACGCAGTCTGCAGGTGGTATCAGGACAAGTCGGAGACCCTGGGCTATGATGAAACCTGAGCACAAATGACTGTTTTTGAATCAGGATGTGTTTGTTGTTGATGGAAAGGGCCTTGGAGATCTTCTAGGGTAATCCCCTTAGGTTGCTGATGAGGAAACGAGGAAGGCCCAGAGAGGTGAAGTTCTCTCCCAGGTTCCCTAACCTAACGCCTGGTGACTCTTCAGGATTTCACAAAAATGGCATTTTCCTTCTTATCTTCCTCATTAACTTTCAGATACTGACTCTTCTGGCCCCCCCTTGGCTCTCTCAGCAAGGCTGTTAGGACACAGATTTTGATGAAGCGTTACTTTGCAAAGACACCGACTCCATGAAGAACACTTAGTGATGCACATTTGCAGGACACTAAATGCCAGGTTACACCCTGGCTACATCCTCACATTCTAAGAACTCACCTCAAATCGCACACTTACGGAAGCATTTGAGATGTGTAGGACCCCCACCGTGACATAAAACTGCACACGCACATAAAAATTACTAAGCGATCAACATCTTATTTGGAAGGAATCACACTGATTTTAACTCGAGGCTGCAAAGCCCGCAGATTCTACTGAATCTGTGGACACCAGCATTATCCAATGGTAATGTAAAATGAAGAGTATGTTTTAGTTGGTATTAGCGACCTCTTTGGGTTGTCCTGAGGTTAATTCTGAAGAAAGCACATCATCCATACTATGACTGTGACAGACAAAAGAATTCACATTGAGTATGGATGACTGAAACTCACTCATTCGCATGGATATTCAAAAATTGATAAAGTCCATAGTCTGGTAGTAATGCCACATCTTTATTATGCAAATCAGCTATGTTTTAAATGATTTTATTGGGTTTTGAGCACGTGTGTGTGCGTGTGCGTTTTTAGCAGATGGCAAGCATTCTTCCTTCAAAATAATGAACATGTTTTCTGTTTTTCTCTCCCCTCTTTGCTGAATGCTGAGTGAGTGTGTTTTAATAGAAAAAAACAGGGAATCCAGAGTTTAGTACTGACTTTGCTGTGGATGGTTGGTCGTGTGATCTTTAGCAGCCCACATAACTTATGGGGGGCTCTGTTACCTTATCGGTAGCATTTAGGGGTCAGAGAAGATGCCCTCCAAATTCCCCTCTGTCATTCTGGTCCATGACAGTTTTCCTTGTTTCTAGCACAATGAAATTAATTGTATCTGACTGAATTCATGAAAAGAAAGTCTCCATCCCCATTGTAAAGATGCAACTGTTCAAACAGGTTGTAAAATCCTAAGGAAGCGCCCTGTTTCTGTTTTCCTTTGCACTGGCTGCCAAGATATATACTAAAGGAGTTAGAGGTAAAGTTTGCTGGGCCAAAAATATTCCAGGGAAGGAAAAGCCTGGGAAAAAAGCTCCTGTCTGGGCCATTGTGTTCAAGTTAGTATTTTATAAACGTTTCTTACCTCATCAAAAAAATAAGGAATTTAAGTATTCCAGATAAAAATAGATTTTAGTATTTTAGTATTTGTGAACTCAACTGAAACAAGACAAATTGGAACTCTTGTCTTCTAAAATTTTCTTGAAGGTAAGGGGGATGGACTACAGAAATGAGTTCATAGGGAAGCTGTGAAATTACTTTTGTTGGCGGGTTTTTGTTTTTGAGACAAAGTCTCACTCTGTTTCCTAGGCTAGAATGCAATGGCGCAATCTTGGCTCACTGCAACCTCCGCCTCCCGGGTTCAAGTGATTCTCCAGACTCAGCCTCCAGAGTAGCTGGGATTACAGGCATGCACCACCACTTCTGGCTAATTTTTATATTTTTAGTAGAGACAGAGTTTCACCATGCTGGCCAGGCTTGTCTTGAACTCCTGACCTCATGTGATCTGCCCGCCTCGGCCTCCCAAAGGGCTGGGATTACAGGCACCAGCCACGTTCATTGATGGGTTTTAAAAGCAGGACAGATACAAATCTGCTCATCTGCTGGAACTGAATTAAGTTGGACAAATAAACTCTTAAGGACCTTTCAAGCTCTATGTTAAGATTGCCACCAAAATGCTCAGATGCCCCCTTTCACCTGCTGGGCTTCAGTGTCAAGGTCAAAATGTGGTCTATACATAGAAAACTTACTTCCCTCTCTACCTGTACTTGGAATTAAACATGAACCAAGACCATCAGAGCCCTTGAAAATGCATATATATCTTTTTGAGTGAAGATTTTAAAAATTACTTTGTTCACTGTTGAAACTATGCTAGTAAGATGAGAGGGCCTGCAATCAGGAGTTTGACATTGTAGAATGTTGCTCTCCTAGAACAAGTGGGAAAGAACTAAATTACCAGAGAGGATTTGCATTCTTTTTTTTTTTTTTTAATATACTTTAAGTTCTAGGGGCTATGTGCAGAACATGCAGGTTTGTTACATAGGTGTACACGTGCCATGGTGGTTGGCTGCATCCATCACCCGTCAACTACATTAGGTATCTCTCCTAATCCTATCCCTCCCCTAGTGGGAAATCCTGTTTGAGAAGTTTGTGGAAAAGTACAAGATGGGATTCAGAAGACCTGGGATTTTTGACATCACAACCAACTCTGTGAGCTGGGCACAGTGGCTCATGCCTGTAATCCCAGCATTTTGGGAGGCTGAGGCGGGTGGATCACTTGAGCTCCAGAGATTGAAACCAGTCTGGACAACATAGCAAAAGCCCGTCTCTACAGAAAATTAGCCAGGTATGGTGGCATGCACCTATAGTCTCAGCTACTTGGGAGGCTGAGGTGGAAGGATCACCTGAGCCCAGGATGTCGAGGCTACAGTGAGCCTAGATTGCATCACTGCACTCCAGCCTGGGTGACAGACTGGGACCCTGCCTCAGAAAAACAAAACAAAAAATAAAACAAACAAAAAAACCTAACTCTGTCATCTTGGCTAACCCAATCTCTTAGGGCCTCAGCTTCCATATTTGAAAATAAGAACATTGAAACAGACAATTTTCTAGTTTATTTCCAGGTCTATGACTTTTCTAAATTTTCCTTCATTTAACTGATTCTCTGCTCCCAAAAAACCACTTCACAATCTGTGTTTTAAATGTTCATTTACAAACACGTTTGCAGTTCCTTTGAGTTTACGTCTAGAATTCATGCCAACACCATATCTATGAAAAATTGTATATTTGCATCTGTTTGATATGCTCCTACTAATTTCTCACTGAAGTCCAGGCTTCCACAACACACTTCTGTTTAGTATTGTGCTGTGGCTGCTGCTGTTCATAGTTGTCTGGAAAAGTCTTGTCTCCAACGTACAGTGGCTTTCTTTTTCTTGCCCTGAAGCAGCAGATGATGGGAGAAATATGTGTTTGTTTCTGTTCTTCAGAGTCAGAGCTGCTTCAGGCATAAAATTCTTAGCCCTCTAGTTTAATTCAAATGCAATGAGTCACAAAGTAAATGCGAACCCCGGGCTGTGTATCATGGGGATTGGACAAGTTAAATCAATTTTTAAGGCCAGATTGTATTAGTTAAACCTAGGATCCTAATTTGCGCTGACAAAAAACGTCAAATCAGCCTGCCGAGGTGCCTGAGACTTACTGCCCAGATAATAGCTGACAATTTCAAGTTGGTAGTTTTATGGATTGGTTTGTATCTAAAAAGCAGGCAGCTTTTAAAAGCCCTGAATAAAGGTTACTTTCTGTGGACACCTGTGGCGTGACTATTTATAAAAGTACCCAGTGATTTTTTCCCCTCCTAAAAGTGCTATTGGCAGAATAAGGCTTGGTATTTAATCCATAACCCGCTATGCACCGCCCCCTACAGTGGCAAAGAACACACAGGGCTAGAAGAATGGGATCAAGGAAGCATTAAAAATGTCAGGCCACGAGACCATGTTTAAATTATTAGGTGAGATGCTGTCTTGCATTTAACAATGGCCCCACGCACCTTGAGGCCCAACTTCCTCTCTCCTTGGATGTTTTGACGGGCTATTGCAATCTCTTCTGAAATTGAATTTCAGTTTGTTTCAATAGCATTTCCCAGTAAATAGAAGTGACTCTGGTATCTCGTTTGTGAATCTTGATGTAATCATCGGAGGTAACTGAAGCGTGTACAAGCCACAGAGACTTATGACATGTTTTTAAACAAGGATTGACTGATATGAAACTAATTGAACAAAAGCTGGAAATCAGATTCCTCCAAGAAACTTTGCACAGAATACAGGGTCTATCATAATGGCACCGAGTTTGACTTTAAAAGTGGCATGTTCACGTTTCTTTATTTTCCTGAAGGAGTTTAGGAGTGAGTTACTGACAGGCAAGGTTGTGACCCAAGGACCAGAGTTAATCATCTGACGACTGAAATTCATACTTTGTCCATCCTGTAGTTTGGATTAACCAGGGTCAGTCATCCCCTCGTGCCTTGGTGGCCCCTATCAATGAAAAAAAAAAAAAAAAACTCTTAGTAACAAAGGCACACAAAATGAGCTCCAAATGACAGCATTTTGCATAAACTAGCACAGATTTGGAAACTTTTTATTTTGTAAATTAATCTTCTGTAGACAGGATTGTAATCTTTTGTATTTATGCTCAAGCATACACAAATATATGCACACACAGACGCATCCTATATAGGCATTCTATACATCCTCAGGTTGCAAAGTGGCTGCTGGACTTATATTCTGTTTCAATGGAAGTTAGATACTAAAAGGGAGAAATAAAAGAACAAAACCTGTAATTTACATATCTAAGCTATACAAGAGACCAAGATTATTAAAGCAGGGCGCACAATGCTCCTTAGCCCCTGGATTTAAAGTAGGGGGAGAAAAGCATTTATAGATAAGAATTTGAAATTCAAATGAGGGAATAAGCAGTCCGTCTAAAATGTTGGCCTCCACAGATGCTGACCTTCCGTACAAAAGGTGGCGGATTTTTATTTTCAGGCACTAAAGAAAAGAGGATGAATGGTGTGTCCTGCACTCAGATTAGTGATAACGATAAAACGTACCAAACCTTTTGATGCTTGGTGCCTAATTGAAGGAAGCAGAGGAGAGTGGTAAAGTAGCGAGTGAACGTAACCAGGAGAATAATTAACAGCTTCATTAGGCAAAACTTACCATTCGTCTGTGTCTCTAACACACGCGAATGTCAGTTGGATTGAAACTTGATGCGGTGCAAATTTCTTTAAAAGATAATGAATCGCTATTCTTCAAGGAACAATTTGAAATGCGTAAATGTCACCCTTATTTATAACACCACCGGGGAATGGCAGGAAAGTTGAGATCTAAACATTTTATTTCTCTAAACAGGAATCGTGACGACGTGGACCTCGTTAGAGCCATCACTCCACCTGTGGAAACTAAAACAGATAGGATGGATGCAAGCACCCAGGGATTTATAGACGTAATACTTATTATCACTAATAGGCGTTAGGTAACAAAATCCCAGAACATCTTGGTGAGACTAAGCCCCCTAAGTATTTAGCACTCCCTTCTGAAGAGATGTTGTTGTCATTATGGCGATTTTAATAAGGTTTAATATAATTGGAACAAAAGCAGTATACTTCGCCATGCTTTGAGTTTTCCCAGAAGTGATTTATAGAAAAAAAAATTCTGAAAGTATAAGGTGTTCTCTTTCAGAGCTAGTTCTTAAATGATTTAGAAGATTCTGTTTAAATGTTGTTAAAATTATGAATATAAAATAGTTTGACTACCTGGGCTATGCAATGGTTGTTCTAGTTTGTCTTGTAGGTTCATTTTCTCTGCAAGCATGAATTTAATCCCAGGGAAACAGCACTGTTTTTGATTCTCAGAAAAATTTAAGGTAAATAGGAAGATATTTCTTACCTAAAAGCATAAATTGTATCAGGGAAGTAAATAAGGCCCACAAGACCCCGTAAAAATAGTTGTAGTGCAGCATCTGGCAAATTTGATTACTTGACTCTTACTCCTAACTAAGGGTTTTATACATTCAAGTAGAGCAAGATTTAGAGGTGACTGAGTATAAGAAAAGCTTCGTGGAATAAATGAACCTTGGGTGGGCTTTGAAAGAGTGGGATTTGAATCAGCAGCAATAAGAAAAAAGAAACTCCTAGGAAAGGGATGCCAGAAAAATTCTCTACAGTTATCTTCAGATGAGAGACACCAGGCTCTTGCCTTTGTTCTTCAAAAGAACTACCATGCCAGGCGAGGTGGTGCACCTGTTGTCCCAGCTACTCAGGAGGCTGAGGTGTGAGGATCGCTTGAGCCTAGGAGTTCTGGGCTGTGGTGCACTGTGCTGATGAGATGGCCACGCTAAGTTCAGCATGGATAATAGTGACCTCCTGGGAGCAGGGGACCAACAGCTTGCCTAAGGAGGGTTGAACTGGCCCACGTTGGAAATAAAGTGGGTCAAAACTCCCATGCTGATTAGTAGTAGGATTGTGTCTGTGAATAGCTACTGCCCTCCAGCCAGGGCAGCATAGTGAGAGTCCATCTCTAAGAAATGAAAAAAGAACTAACACTATCCCATCATAGTAACTGGGTAGGGCAGAAACCCACCCACGGGACTAGTCGGGGCATGCCTTTTTCTGTTTGAGCTTCAAAATGAAAATTCTGTGGCCAATACCTGGATCTACATTTGACCTCCAGATCACCTGTTCTAATTTTCATTTTACCATGACATATATCTACTAGGATATATATTTTATTTTTTAAGACCGTCACCAAAGTTTACTTTAACGAGATTTAGATACCATTCTTTACCAAGTCTGGGTTAGAGTAAGAAGGAAAGGCACTGCGTTGTTTGCAGCGCAGAAAAGCTGGGGCTCACACTCTGTCTTGTGACAGCCCTGAGGTTGTGAATGGGCTAAGCATGCTGTAGAGACTGTGACAGCCAAGCTGCTATGGAAATGTCCTCAAATGATCTTCAGCAGACACGGTGTCCGTTTCGCTTACCTTCTCCATAGCACCCATGCTACTGATTGATATACTAGTCACAGGCAGCAAGGTCCAGACCAAAGGATGAGGCATCAACTCTGTCTATGCCGTTCCTTCCACTCCAGACACCTCTATGGGACTCTGGGTGAAGACTGCAGGAGTTAATTCAGCAGACTCACTAGTCATGCTAAAGAATTACCCATGAAACCCACAGTCCTAACAAGTTGACCAGCTGTCCCAAAAGTGATGGGGACATAGCTGCACGTGTCCTCTCACATGTAACAGGACACTACCTATTCATTCTTTCTTTCCAAACCTCTAAAATAATGACAAGCATAAAAGCTCTTTCAGCTTTTCAGAAAAATGGGCTATGAAAATATAAGCTAGTACTGCTTTTTTCGCCAAAACTTATATATGTTGTACGTGCTAAGAATACTTTCCTGTTTAATTGCAAAGCATCATGAGAGTAGAAATCAGAGCTTCTGCTAGTAGTCTTCTACATGTGTATGGAAAATTGCCATGGAAGAAATCAATATTATTACTGTTCAAATATTTGCACAGCCTGTGTTTAACATGCCTGTCACACATTAACGAGAAAGTATTTTTGAAGACATTGGATTTAAAAAAGAAAACTTAGAAAAACATCAAGTTGAAGTTATTATTTTTAATGACTGCCAAATTCAATGTTACTTTGGCTTCAGTAGTATTTGAGCTGTTAACCTGTGTTTTTGAGTATCTATTCATTGGTGAATAATTAAGGGGGAATTCCTTAGTAAGTAATGGATATAAAGGCCATTTGACTTTGAAATTTACAAATGCCTATTTTAAGGTTACAAAATTTATGACGGTTATGTGTGTGTTTAACTAGGGAAAATGGGTATTTTGCCTATGTCTGGGAAGAAGGATTATTACAATCTAAGTCATTAAGAAAAGTCCCTTGAATCAATGACATTTTTACAGTGTAGCAATAATCTTACTATATTACACACATGCAAAAATGTTAAATGGACTATAAGATTTGGCATGAAATTGCCTAGTTGCATGAGGAGGGGGAAGAGAAAATTCAGCATAGCAATTAAACAGTTATAAAAATAGGCGTGTTCTCTGTCCAGAATTTGGAGTTCTTGGCTGGCATGCCCAGGTTATAAAGGAAAAGTCAGCAGAATAAGTTCGTTCTGTGGCATCAGAACACCAACCCTCAAAATAGATGTGGAAATGCTTGTGTTGAGTGGTCACTCAGGCATTTCTTTGGCTCTCCGGTGCTTGGGGCCATCTATGGGAGACTTGGATCCGCCCTTCCTTCTGCCCTGCACCGCTCTCCATTTCCTGGATCCTTGCTCCAAAGAATGATGGGAATATCTTCATTCTCATCACAAGACTCTACCTCTAGATTGCGTGGTCCCAGATTAGCGAGAAGGGCAGAGGCTGGAGGATGTAGGAATGGAGGGAAAAGGAAGGCGTTCAAGGGCCAAGAACACAGAGCAGAAGTCTAGCCATCCATCCTTCCCTTTGTGACACAGGCTTCCCACACATATTGCAGAGCCTGTGAAATACATACACACTTTTCAAAGTGCTTGCCATCACTGTCTTGCTAAAATAATAACCTCTCACCAAACTTCATTGAATCAGAGAAGCCGTTTCTTTGCTTATCTGTGTTTGGGCCTGTTTCTTAGGTGTCAGTCTAATAAATGAGTTCTTTAAATTTTTGTCTTCTCATAATACCATAAAATTAGAAACTCATCATGGGGAAGTGAAATCACGGGGCAGATAACCGCAAGGCTGTGGTGTGGAAGAGGAATTAAATTCAGTCTTAGCATCAGTGGGTGGGAGTGGCGTTAAATACTGCACAAACAATTGCTGAGGGAACAGATCAAAGACAAAGTAAGGAAGACCTGGAATAATCACCCGGGGGTCAAAGATGGGATGAGCTTCCTGTTGGACTCTGCATTGTCCCTTCCTATATGTTTTTTTTTTCTTCTTGAGATGGAATCTCACTCTTTCACCCAGCTGGAGTGCAGTGGCTCGATCTTGGCTCACTGCAACCTCTGCCTCCAGGGTTCAAGCCATTGTCCTGCCTCAGCCTCCCAAGTAGCTGGGATTACAGGCATGTGCCACCACGTCTAGCTAATTTTGTATTTTTAATGAGACGGGGTTTTGCCATGTTGGCCAGTCTGGTTTCAAACTCCTGACCTCAGGTGATCCACCCGCCTCAGTTCTAAAAGTGCTGGGATTATAGCACTTCACCCAGCCCCCTTCCTGTAGGTTTTTGAGCAAGACTGAGAAATCCTGTGGTAGGAATCTCAAATTAGAAGTGGATTCTAATGATCACAAAAAACCTCTCATCATTGCCTAAAAAATGAGATGTCATGATTTTTCTTTCATCTGAATACAGTGGTAAGTTCTGATTCTTCTATTATAACCGGATCTGGAATATTGTTCGACTCCATTGAGTGTTCTGGGCTCCAGTTTTCCCATCTGTAAAATGCCACCTTGGTCTCTTATATCTCCCCACTGTAAAATATTGCTTAGTCCTATTCATGGTGGTCACCTTAGAGTTAAGGTGGTAAAACCAAGACATTCTTGATGGCCGCTCTCAGAGAGACGAACTAGAGGAAAACAAGCTAAGTGCATTTGTCAGCCGTGGTTGAGCGATTTTTACCAAGTGTAGGCACAGCCTTAGGCATCAGCATTGTACTTGTTTAGCCAGAAACAGTTGCTAAAACAGTCTTTCAAAGCACTGAATCAAATTAAATCCTTACCATTGAAGGCAGAACAGGAGAAAGAACTAGGCTGCCAAATTTATCTCTGTCTCCTCGAGTCTCGAACACCTGACCTCAGGTGATACGCCCCTCTCGGCCTCCCAGAGTGCTGGGATTACAGGCGTGAGCCACTGCACCCGGTCATCTGTTCTCAAATGTATGTTTTCATCTACAGAGTTGATTCTCTCCCTGAATTTTTTATTGCTTCTGATCTGTGCTTGTGCAAAGTAAGCGACTTTTCAAAACAGCACATAGCAAGCACTTCACGGCAGCACCGATTCCATAGGTATTATGTCATAAAAGGTTCACGTGATCAATGAGATTGGCATATGTTGGATTAAACTGTGGTGATTCTCAGAGCCTTTAATTTACTGTTATACATTGTGAGTATTCATGAAAAGAACATTATTTGCAGCATTTCCCAAATTTCAAAAGAAAATTCTCTTGAAGTATTTTGTAAGACGAGTAAGAAAAAGGGAGTAAACACAATAGATTAGAAAGTGATGAAGACAATAATATGACCTAGGCAATTTGCCATAAAGGAAAAAAAATAAGAATTAATGAACTATCTGAAATATGGGTTTTTTAAAATATGACAGTTTCAGGGACCTGCAATGATTTTAATAAGTTTCAACTGGAAGGATTCCCAAAAGGCCTGTTTTACTGTACATTTTTAAATAAACACTTAGATGCCCCCAAATAACTCAAGAACTAAAATGCTGAAAAGTGGGCTTGTTTCTATCTCTTCCTGTGACTTTATCTACACTATCCATCCTCTTAATAAATTCGTATGCATAAAGTGCAGTCAGCTACAGCTGTCTACGTTAAAAGTATTCAAAGACGTTAAGCTGCTTAAATACA